ATAATACAGTCAACGCCACAAACGCGTGCAGGGCCACGCTCTTTCACGCGCTTCTGGACAAAAAACAAAAATAAACGTGTGGGACAAAATGGCGAGATGCCACCACCCTAAGCAAAGCGCACATGAAGGCACCCTATCCGTTACTATTGATACTGCTAAATATTCCTCGTGACCTAAAAAAAACGCAAACGCGGGGCAGGTGGGACGAGAGTGCCGCGTCAGAGCTCGCGGGTGGGACTCGGCAACTCGCACGCTCACTGACTAAAGAGACGCTGCGAGTCAGGAGACACTTCTTTGTTACCAATATAAGCGAGTTTCAGAGATAAATTCGTTGTCCCTTGCTAGACTTGCTCGAGCTCCATGAAAGGACGCGACCTGGGAAGTGCCCGCAAACAACAAAATGATGTACAGCGTGTCCCAAAAATAAATTTACAGGGTTGTTTTCACCCCAAGAATAAACTCTGCATCGCCGAACATTCATTCTCCGCAGCTGTACCGCTAGTGGTTCGAACCAGATGCCAAAGTTTCAGAAGTAACAGTTATTCAAAAAGTAACAAGTGATTTTCTCAAAAATTGAATGAAAAAATGGGGCCCCGTTTTCGGCAGCTGGCGCCATTCATCTCCATGTATTGAGAGATCCGTCGGCCGCAATTTTTCAAATGAACATTTCAGAAAATCACATAACTTTTGAATAAGATAACGATTATCCTGAAACTTTGGTATCTGGTTCAGACCGCTAGTGATACATTCAGGTGAAGAATGAGGGTTCGGCCATGCATAGTTTATTTTTGCACTAAAAAACAACAAAAACAAAAACTGAACATGATTGTAAACCTGAGACTGGCAGAAAGAGAACACAACAGAAGGTAGTAAAAGAGGAGGCAACGTCTCACTTTGAGACGTTGCCTCCTCTTTTACTACCTTCTGTTGTGTTCTCTTTCTGCCCCAGTCTCAGGTTTACAATCATGTTCAACTTACACCAGCTCGCCTGCACTCTGACTATTTTTTCGTTAAAAAACTAAACTTTTTTTTTTTTTTTGGGGGGGGGGGGTACATACTCTGTACATACAACCTCTAGTGCGTACATAAATTACCAAGCCGGTTAAAAGTTGAGTCATTTAAAATCTACAAACATAAAATATCATATCACTGTGTGAGAAGTACGCCGACGCGGAGATCTTTACATGATATGGGCCAATGGCGGCTTCTTTAGATTGAAACGTGCCCTAGGGCACGTGCAACGCGATAGTTCAAGCTGATCAGCTTTGTCAATTCTGTATTATGGGCACCATAGCTTCTTTTTTGGATATTGAATCATAGCTAAGGAGCTTGTTTCGTTTTTATCCACCATCAAAAAAATTCGTACTGCTAGAGCGGCGCTCCATGTTTAAGTGCAGACACGTGATTTCGTTTATTCATCGATTTCCTCAAGATAGCAGATGGGAAGACGTTCACACTACTGAAATTAAACAGAAGTCCTCAAAGCCGCTTTTTCTGTGTAACATGAACACAGCATATTCCGAGACTTCGCACTACGACTTCGTAAGCCTAGCGGTGCTCAACTATACTGGGTGTATCAAGGAGCGGCCAGGCTCTTTAAACCGACCGCAAAATTCGGTTTCTTAACCTATCGCGTTCCGATTTTGTACAGCGTTGGACACAGGTGGTGCATGTTTTCTATAAAATTCGTAAAGAGCGAGCTTACCTGGGGGAAAAGTAAAAAAAGAAAAAGGTTTAGCTCCTATCCAAAACGCAGTGCAGCCACCAGTCTTCAAACCATAGCGCCCTTAGGTTTGAAGACCGGTGGCTTCGCTGCGTTTTCCATAGGAGCTAAGCCTTTTTCTTTTTTTTACTTTTTTCCTCAGGTAAGCTCGCTTTTTGCGAATAGAAAAAATGCACCACCTGTGGCCAACGCTGTACGAAATCGGAACGCGATAGGTTAAGGAACTGAATTTAGCGGTCGATTTAAAGAGCCTGGCCGCTGCTTGATGCACCCAGTAGTTTTGTTTTGTGTCGGCTACCACTGTCAGATTTTGACATATTTCTTCTCGTCAAATAGAAGTTTGGCGCCGTTGTATTCAGAATTAATCGGCGTGATCAAGCTATATTCCACAAAATGATGCCAACGCAAAATTTTAATTATATATTGAATATAGAGTTTGAACTCAACCTTTCTGCTGTCTGAATTTGCTAAACATAATGAAAAGAGCAATAAAGGATTTTTTCTTGTCAATCATATTACGACAGCTAATTAAAACTTAATAATAATAATAATTTCAATGTAGTATTATTTACAGATTTTAGATAAAGCAGATATGTGAAATTCTATAATTTGAAAAACATATTTCTCAACTCTTGAAACAATTAACGCTAATAAAAATAAACTTCTCGAAGTGCGAAGAGTAGCAGCTAGGTACTAAATGATTGCCGTACACGAAGTGTGAAGCAGACGCAGCCGGCAATATCGAGGCATTTATATTCGATGTGATTACAACGCTTGACAACTGACCAAAAGAACTTTAGTAGACTACGATTTTCTGAAAATATACTTGCGAATAATTATGCCTTAAACTTTGTACTTGGTTTCTAGCAGTGATGGGGCACGCCATTCCAACCGACACCATGTAGACCATGTCATTTCGTTCCCTACACTTATACCAACTTATACTATTAATATTTTATGATAGACAGAAACAAATAAGAAACGAGTAGTACTCCCGAAATTTAGATAGTTTGGGAAAGCCACAAATTCATACTCTTGTCATATCTTTAGAGCATTGTCTAAATTTATTAGTTGTAGAAATGGTTCCCAGGATCAAAGTTTCTAAATGTGTTATGAAACTTTTTTTAATAGTGTTCCAGCTACAATAACATTGCCTTTGCCTTTAAGTGAAAATCAAGTACTAATGAGTCGCACAATCCCCAAGCTCGTCCATTATCTGTAGGTAGCTTATTAGTAAACAGTGAAGCAGCTCTTGTGAAGAATCCAGACTGAGTGCCCATGTCATCTTTCCATTCCTCCAAAAAAGCGATGTGTACACAGTCTGTATGATTCAACATGTTTTGTTTATCAGTAACTCATACGCAAATATCCATTACATATAGGTGCACAAGCAGCAACTGTTTTTTTGTGTTAAAAGTTTTTACATTAATAGTTTTTTTGTTTTTTTTTTTGCAATTAAATTGGATTTAGATTTCTGTTTTTATCGTGTATTTAAGAGTGACCCGGACGTCCCGTTTAGAGGTGCATTTCTGCCGTCCCCTTTTTGGTCTAACGGAGCCTCATGTTCCGTTTTCGTGAGCACATGCATAGCAGCTGCTAAATTAGTACTAATAAGCGAATGTAAGAAAACCATGTTTACTTGTTACAAACGTAATGTTATAAAAATAAACATACATATAATACAAAATAAACATCTGGTAGTACCTTTTGCTGACATAAACGTGTGCGGGATACTTTTATATTACTGCATTTGACATGCTTCGGTTGGTAACATTTCTCCCTCGTTAAAAAATAGGGAAGCACCCGAGTTGCAAAATTTTGCGCGTGTACGTTTATCATTTGTGTGAAGCTTATTTTCCCTGCCCCTCGTCCCCTACCCTCCCCCACAACCACCTTGATGTCGTTTTTCTACTCCAAGGATTATGGTCACTTCGTGCAATGTTGCTCTTGTTTATCTACAATATTGTACTTTTGATTGATGTTAATTGCTGGTCTAACTTTTATTACTTTTTGTTACCAAGGGATATTTTAATTTTTTTTTTTTTTAACTTTGGGACCCCTGGCTGAATAAATATTTTATGAATGAACAACTTACTTGCCAATAAAAGCACTTTATTTCACTCGAGAACAGAATAATAAAAAAATAAGTCAGCCGTCATTGCCTGTTGAGATTTTAGTGGATCTGAACCACGTAAAGAGCACTCATATGTAACTGCTAAGGAAAAGCAAAGACAAGCAATGATCCCAGAACAGCATTGTGTTTTTGGAAAAAAAAAAAAAAAAAAAAAAAACACTTGCTGGTCAACTGTCCATTAATTCGGATGTCCAAAAAACTCAATTTCAAGGTTACCACAACAAAATAATAACTCCAAAGGGTGCTCTAGAAATAAACCTCACAAAAGCACAGGGCCAGTGGTCCTGTAGAGGTGTTACTATAGATTCCTTTGCAATCCTGAACTACTGACAAAAGGGCCTTTTAGTTAGTCAAAACCCCTTCAGGACAACAGGTCATGGTAGCCAAACTATGTTCTGAGAGCCTGTCGTCTTTTCTCGTTTTACAGCGGAGCTGTAGAGGGATAGGTTTTCCAGGATCGTGTCCAGTACCAAAGAAATGTCGACACAAACCTTCACGAACCTCTGGACAGCTATTGCCATCTATAAGGGACGGCAGCAACCAGGCAAGCAGTCTGGTTTCTGCTGTCACTCATAGAAGGCAGCAACCTTTTCAGTTATCATAGAAAAATGGATAGTTGGGAGTTGGTGGAAATTCATTGTGGAAACAGCGAGCAAAACAGACGAGGACGAACAAGAGCATGTGACAAGCGCAGCTACAGCTCCGCTGCTCCTCCATTTAAACTTCATTTACACTGTTTTTGAATTTTTAGCAATTGCAATTAGAGTAAAATAAGTACTAAATTTAAGAGAATTGGGAATCAACCGCAAAGTCTGAGCGACGAAAAATAAACTCAGTAAACACGGAATCCGAGTTATAAGCCAATGGGGCTAATCAAGGAGTGCAATGTCATGGTATCAATTTTCTCTTGGTGCATGTTTTCACCAACAAATCCAAGCAAGCACACAGCATGATCCGAGGCTTTACGCTTCTTTGCCTGCTGACCTCGACTGTGCTCTAACTTACAATGAAACAAAGTGTGGATCCTTGCTCAACAAAAGATACCCAATAGGGCTCTCTGTGTGAAAATTTACCTGCTTAAGATAGCGAACGTACAGGTGTCGAAAAAGCAAACGCTTAATATATGCACAGCCAACGCTCCAGTTAAAATACATGACCATGGACAAATCATTTATTACAAACTCCATAATACATATGACATGTGGTACACATAAAGACGTAATGACATGCCAGTGTGGCGGTTCATACCGCAAGTATGACAGAGTCCTGGTGGCGGATAACCCTTGAACCCCATGCAGCAAGCCCAACGGAATGGCACAGTTTCCCCGTGGTGCCTGCAAAACTTTTATGCCCGAACACCTTTCTTTCCGGGAGTCTGCTTGAAACCCAGAGCCTTCTTGGCACCTGGCGACTGCTTGGCACCTGGTGACTGCTTGGCAGCTGGTGACTGCTTGGCACCTTGTGACTGCTTGGTACCTGGTGTGAACTTTGCCCCTAGGGTATTTTTCGGTGTCTTCTTCGGAGTCTTCTCTGCACCTGGTGTGAACTTTGCCACTGGGGTTTTAGGTCCCTTCCCTGCCTGCTGCTGCTGTGGGGTTTCCTTGAAGGAGCTCTCTTTTGCACCCTTCTGTTGCTGCTTCTTCTGGTTAGGTGTCTTCGGGCTACCCTTGGCCGGCTTGCCTGGAGTCTGCTGCTGCTGCTGTTGCGGCTTGTCTTTCTTGAGAGAAGTGGCACCCGCGTTGACCTTAGCCTTTTTTTTCTGTTTGACTTCTGCAAGGTGCAAGAAAGGTTGCAGCATAAGAAACCAGAGTTTTACAATAAGAGGCCTGCGTAAAGAACGGTTATGTGCCCTCTGAAACAGTGGCTCCAAGAAACACACAATTATGGATAGAAGAAACCCACAACATTCGGGTCAACATTGATTTTAGCATTGTAGCTTACCTCTGTAGTAGGTAGAGGAGCTGTTCACAGCACTTATAGGCATGTTATTCCACCCCAAATGATGTGGTTAAATTTATCAAATCAGCAGAAAAGAATAAGATGTGTGCATCGGTGACATTAAATGACTGGCTGGAATAGCCCACAAGCATTGATTCACGTAATTGCAGAAATTCAAAAATTTTTGAGAACCCACGGATTCCCAGAGTAGCCTCGAGGGTTCTCGGAAATACCGAATTTCCTTGACAAGGGAGTTTTACTGAGACTGTTAAGTTTTAGGATTGTTTGGCAACCGCCATCGTGCCCCAACACTCCTCACAAACATAATCTCACTTGTAATTCTGCTGCATATAGAAGAAATTTAGTAGATGAAAGTGGCAGCATTGAGTCAGAAAATGACGTTCAGACATTGGATTCTATTTTCGATAGTGGCAATGGGTTGAACCAGCCAGGACCATCCACGGGTGCATGTCGGTATGTTTTGTTTTGTGCGCCGAGTGTGTATATTGCCTCCATAAGCTTCCGCAGATATAGTGGGCGTGCTCTGAACGCATTAGTTTCCGTATGCAGGGTGTCGACCTCATGTAGACACGGCTTTATGCCATCATCAACAGCAGAATGAGGGGAGTTTTCTTCGAAAAGACGGCCCAGTCCCAACCCTGGTGTAACACTACAGAGTAGCATGAAATGCTTTAATCGGAAGGAAGGTTTCTGCTTCTAGAATTTTATATATTGCCAGAAAAGCAAGATACAAAATGTATGTTGTTGTATTGTCTTTTTCCCTCTAATACCTTGCAAGGCATATGGGATTAAGGGATGACACTACTCCAGAGGACACATTTTTGAACCACTTGCCCCACCTATATGAGTTGTGGGTTATATTCGTGGCACTGCAGGGCGATACCAAGCAAATTTTCAGATTCATATATTCGCCCTATGATGAGTTGCATCAGAATACATTAAACAAAAAGTGCACATGCCTATATCACACCTATATTTAAAAAAGGGTAATGAAAACTGCCAGTTTATTTGGTGAAACCTGAAGCAGAATACCTAGGCGGGTGCGCACAGGCTTCAAAGAAAAAATTCAAGGGTTTCCAAGACTTATCACATGCTCCGGAACAAACGCGTTTGGAACAAAATGGCAGACGTGTACAAATTACACAAAAAAGCTAGATAAGTCACTGAGTATCAACGCCAAAAGTAATAGGAGTAGAGCAGAATGTACGCATTTGTAATAGTAATTGAGTAAACAACTACTGTAAAAAAGTAGCGAGTTACTTTGAACTTACTTTTTATACTTTTGTGGTAGCAAAATGAACAGCAGTGTTGATCAGTGCAAAACCCTGAGAGCCAAAAATATATGCAGTCATTTTATGGCTTGCGTTTTCACCGGAATAGTTAATGTGCTCGCAGAAGCAATTGACTTTCAAAGTTCTTATCGGAGAGTTTTCCCCTTTTGCTCCTAAATACGTTCCCAGCCAAGCTATAAAGATATTCTACCGTGGTGCTGGATGGAAAAGCAGCGTTGAATATCAGAAACCAGCTGTGCAGGGTCGGGTAAGCGAGTGCCAGGATCTTTGGTGTCCATGACGAAACATGCGAGGTTTGCCTCGGCAGAGGGTCTTTTATAACGAACTCTCCTCCTTTTTTTTTCTTTCAGCAAGCTGAGATTGTTATGACGTGGCCCCTCTTCATTCACACGACATTCGGAGAGTACGCCGAGTGAGTGCAGCCGACTTTCAAGGGATCAAGTCTCGCGCCACGACTAAGACCACCCAAACAACTGCGCATCTCATTAAAATGCTAGTGCTACGCTACTGAAACAAAAAAAAGTTTTTGTTTAAAAGAAGTAGAAACGAAGTATACTTCACCACTGATGCTGGGTTCAACAAAAGAATCTCCCAAGGGTGACTCGCACTCCTTGCGGCGACTACGGTATCCTAACACGTCTGACAAGTAAAACGTTTTCAACCAAGAGGAGGTCTCCCTGGCGTGGAAGGCCGGAAAGGATGCGAAGGATTACGTGAACAAGCATTGGCGCTCGCGCAGTTGCAGCTCTAAGCGGGAATGTGCTCCCATGAATTGATTATCTGTGTCTGCATTTGTGGGCGGGGGAGTCCGCCCACAAATGCAAAGGAGTGTACTCAGACGAGGAGGCGACCTTGGGAACAGGTGCCCAGCTGCGAGGTCATTCCAGTTGCCTACCGCTTGAGTCAGAACCTACTGCTTTAGTCAGAACTCACTAAAAGCAGAAAACATAAAAGCAACAACAACCCTCGGAGTGTCCCTGTCTTTCATGGTTGCAGCTGGAGGCGTGGCACCTGCGGGCATTAACGGATGAAGTCAATACCCGACCAAGGCTTGTTAAGTATTACTGCCTGCATTCATGCACGCCGGTGTTATGTTTTGGCTGCTCGTCGCCACCTTGGCCCAAGGACACCTTTGGTGCAGCGTCTACAGCTGCTGAGTACAAGTGCGTGGGAATGGAATGTGAGGGGGCCCCTGTTCGGGAATGCCACTTCATCTGCCGGCGTCTTATTTACTTCTGCGCTCAAACAATTGCGATGAGCAAAATTAGCACTAGATGTTGAAAGCAGTTAGTAATTTGAGTAGAAGTTACCTGAAAAACGTAGGTAGGTTAAACTACTAATTACCCAAATAAAGTTGTAATTGAAAGTCACAAAGTTACTCGGAAAAGTGGTTAAACTACAGTAGTTTAACTATAGTAGTTGAACTATATCCAAGTCTGCAAAATGGTCAGATGTCTATATTGTTCAACAATCCCAGCGCTTTTGTTCACGCATACGTCGTGTGAACGCAACGCCGATGGCCAACGACTTGTTCTAGCTATAGCTGTGAGTGTACTGTGCATTAACGCAGGACAGCTAAACTTTTTTCTGATGTCCAGAGCATTGTTCTTCGAGGCAGTTGCATAGAAGCTTGTTAGCCTCTTTATCGCAACATTGATCAGCTTGCCCTTTTTTTTCTGAGTTCCTTCTTGGTCTTCTTTAACTTTTCTGAAGTAACTGAAAAAGGACGACTCGGACGAAATTGCAAATTCTTCCGCCTCCTCTAGGCTCAACATCTTACATGTGCGCAAGAACCACCGTGCGTCATCATCCCAAAGGCCACAGATGACTCCGTCTCACAGCATCCGGTTAAGGGTCTCACCCAAATCCCAATAAAAGACAAGTAGCTCGCTGAAATCTTGTTGGCTTGACGATTGTAGAATTTCTCAAGGTGACTCACACCAACTTCGTAAGTTAGGCTGTTGATGGACTGCGACTGACAGTGCCCTTGCAGGATTCGCACGACACTGTTGCTCAGTGAGGGCACCAGGAGAGCCCGACATTTCACAGGGTCCGTGACGCCTCTCGAAATAGACTTCCAGGCAGACATGGTACGTGCTCCAGGTACTCGTCGTTTCTTCAAACTTAAGTGGTCGGGAACCCACCTTGACTCTTTTATCCTTCAGCACGGCAATTAATTCTCGTTGCCACTGAACTAACCTACAAAAGGATGTCTGGAGACCCCGGAGTGGCTGCTGACTTGGAACATTTACCCTGATAGTTCTAGCCCTTTCTGCCCCGGCTGCAGTCTCGTGGACATGGGTGAGCACTCCCACGCTAGGCAGTGTTGCAGTGACGTAGCATCCCTTTTCTGCCAGTCACCAACCGGCGTGAGTGCATGTGCCGGTTACGATGACCTAGCATTCTTCATCCCTGCATACATTCATTTGGCCACATGACTGTCACAGTCTTCCTTCTGAAGACCCTTTTCGTAGAGTCTTACGCTCACAACATGGTTAAAAGTAGGGATGCCACAAACTTTTTTCGAACCGAAGTTTCGATGATCGAATCAAGCGGTTCGAAAGGTTCGAAAGATTTCGAATTTTCGAACTTTCCATGTTGAGAAATTTGACGGAAGTCGAATTTTCGAACTTATTACACTAGGAAGTTCAACGCTTTTCGAATTTTCGAACTTATTACGCAGCAAAATTCTATGCTTGTCGAACTGTCAAACTCGATAAACTAAAAAATCGATGATTTTCGAACTTTCAAGCTTATTGCACTAAAAAGTTCTAAGCTTTTCGAACTTGCGAACTTCCTACGCTAAGAAATTCAATAACTTTCTAACTTATTAATCTAAAGAATTCGAAAATTGTCGAACTCTCGATTCCTGAAAAGTCAAAAGATCGACGAACTTCGAAAGACCGGCGGGCGGTTTCATTTGGATTCAAGCAGTGAGGTACATTCGTAATTTCTTTTTTCTCGCAATTTTACATGGGGTGACGCATTCCTTGCGAAAGACAATGCCGTTCATTTCAATTATCTGGCATGCTTGGTTTTAGAAAAAAAGATTCCCGAAGGAGCGAGGAAGGACGACGGGTTTTTGACAATTGTCATTTGTGCCATAATTGAAGCGCGCTATAGCCGAAGCTAAGGTGCCTTCACGCGCGCTTTGCTTAGGGTGATGACATCTGGCCATTTTGTTTCGAACGCTTATTTTTATTTTTTATTCTGAAGCGCGTGAAAGAGCGTGTCCCTGCATGTGCTCGAGGCGCTGACTATGCCACGGCGACACTTAGTTTCCTCGATTTCTTTGTATTTTGCCTGTGAGTGCGTGCTGTCGGCATCGGGTACTACAAACGATGGCATCACCCTAAACAGAAGGACATTGAGGCACCCTAGCCGAAGCTATTTATGGTAGAGATGTTAAACTTTTTAAGAATGATCTATATATAGCTTAGGTGAGTGTTGTCTTAAGATATGATTATTGTTGTTCAAGATGAGTTTTGAATAAATATCCAAACATGTACCTACGGACAA